CTGAGAGGGGACAGGGGACGCGGTGGGGTGATGTGGGGGGGGCTCACGGGCTGGCCTGGCAGGGTTGGCAGGAGGCTGTCGGTCCTTCTGGTGGCCCTGGAGAAGCCCGACTGCTCCATGGTGCCGATGGTCATCTTCTGCAGGATTTCTATGGGGAGCAGAGGGGGCAGGGAGGGAACCACCACCCCCATGGTGTCCCCAGCCCTGTCCCCAGCCCCACCATGCTGGGTACAGCCTGGGGGTCCTGCCTGTCCCCCTGCGTTTGGGGGGTGGGCAGGGATGGGTGACACAGGGCAAGAGGCCTCTGACACCCCCAAAACCTCCTGGGGATGGAGCTGGTCTCAGGATCACTGATGTCCCCAAGTCTTCCTGGGGATGGAGCTAGCTCCAAAACCAGACACCCCCAGACCCTCCTGGGGACAGAGCTGGCCCCAGGACCACTGATGTCCCCAAGTCCTCCTGGGGATGGAGCTGGCCCCAAGACCACCAATGTCCCCAAATCTTCCTGGGGACAGAGCTGGCCCTGGGACCACCAATGTCCCCAAACCTTCTGGGGATGGAGCTGGATCCCAGACCACTGACACCCCCAAGCCCTCCTGGGGACAGAGCTGGCCCTGGGACCACCAATGTCCCCAAGCCCTCCTGGGGATGGAGCTGGCCTCAGGACCACCAATGTCCCCAAACCTTCCTGGGGACAGAGCTGGCCTCAGGACCACCAATGTCCCCAAGCCCTCCTGGGGACAGAGCTGGCCCCGGGACCACCAATGTTGCCAAGCCCTCCTGGGGATGGAGCTGGCCCAAGGACGACTGACTCCCTCAAACCCTCCTGGGGACAGAGCTGGCCCCGGGACCACCAGTGTCCACAAACCTTCTGGGGATGGAGCTGGCCATGGGACCACTGACGCCCTCAAGCCCTCCTGGGGACAAAGCCATCCCCATGACCACCACCTCAAACCCGTACCTGGACTGGTGCCGTGGTCCTTGGGTGCTTGTGGGGGGCCCTGGTGACTCCCCACCCCGATGTTGAGCCAGGAAAGGGGGGACACTTGGAAGTACCCGCTCTCCGTCTGGTGGACCTGCCCGGGCAGGAGGCTCCGGCCATCGAGGAGCAAGAAGGGCTTGAAGTGCTCGGTGGTGGTGGACGTGGCTTCCTGCTGGTGGCTGTGGCGGGAGGCCAGCGTGGCTATGATGGAGCCACCCCAAAATTTGTCCCCTGTCCCCCCCCCCGCCCAGCATGGATACCCACCCCTCGGCTGCACGGAGCAGGCAGGGCACGGCCGAGTCGTTGTTGGGCACGTAGCCCGTGACAATGTGGTGGCCAAGGAAGGGCTGGACACGTGGCTGGGCTGGGTGACAGCAGGAAGAAGGGGGGCTCAGCCACGGGAAGGAGCCCCCCAAAGGTCACAGGGGGGAGGGAGGCCCTTTGGGACCCCCTACCGTGGGCCACGGCGTAGGTGGTGGCATAGAAGTTCATGAGGTCGGCTCTTCCCTTGGTGCCCAGCCCCACGGCGGGCAAGCCCCGCGGCAGGGAGCGCAGCTTGGCGTGGGGAGAGATGAACTCCATGGTGGGACTGTCCCCACAGCAGCTCCTGAGCTTCCTGGAGGGCTGTGGAATGTCCCCTGTTGTGGTGACACCGTCTCCTGGTGACGGGTGTGGTGACACACAGGGAACCTTGGCTGCGGAGGGATTGTCCTACTGCCTGGGGACAGCTGGGACACCCCACAGGGGGCACTGGGAGGGTGGGATGCCCCACTTCGGAGGGGACCACAGCCCCCCAAGTAGGGGGCCACCTCCCCTAGGTCCCCAGAACAAGGGGGTTGAAGGGACAGTGACAGTGGGGAGGTGCCACTTCTTCCCCCAAGCATCCACTCCCCACGATGCCAAACCCACCACGCAGCAGGAGGAGGAGCAGCAGGGCTTGTAGCCACCTCTTTATTCCTCTTGCCCCCAAGAGTCTGAGGAAGCCACTGCTGGAGGAGGAGGAAGAGGAGAGGCACAGGGAGGCAGCAGCAGTGTTTTTACAGGGCCCCGTGCCCCCTCCAGGGGATGGGGAGGGAAAAGGTGGCCCCCCTCAATCAGGGGGGTGGCTCAAAAAGGTACTCCAGGTCCGGCTGGCGCAGCCTCTGCTCCTTCTTCTTGTTCTTGGCGAACTCCCTCAGCATGGCCATCACGTCGTGCTCGAACTCGGCCGGCGTGGGCTTGGCTTCTGGGGTGCAAACAGCAAAAGGGGCAGCAAAAGAACAGAATCACAGAATCTTAGTGGCTGGAAGGGACCTCTGAGATCATCGAGTCAACCACAAAAAAAAAAACCAAAAAAAAAAACCCACACACCACACCAAACGCCCACCAAAAACACCACACCCACCAACTAAACCCCACACTCAACACCTCGCCATAAACCAATAACCTTGGGCACTAGAGCATGCCCTGAAGAGCCATGTCTACACGTTTCTTAAATCCCTCCAGGGATGGTGCCTCCACCACCTCCCTGGGCAGGCTGTTCCAGTGCCTGACCACTCTCTCAGGAAAGTAGTTCTTTCTAATATCTAATCTAAATCTCCCCTGCCCCAACTTCAGACCATTTCCTCTGGTCTTGTCGTTCGTCCTTTGGGAGAAGAGGCCAACCCCTGCCTCTCTCCACCCTCCTTTCAGGTAGTTGTAGAGGGCAATGAGGTCTCCCCTCAGCCTCCTCTTCTCCAAACTAAACATGCCCAGTTCCCTCAGCCTCTCCTCATAGGACTTGTTCTCCAGACCCCTCCCCAGCTTGGTGGCTCTCCTCTGGACACGCTCCAGCACTTCAGTGTCTTTCCTGTAGTGAGGGGCCCAAAACTGAACACAACCCTCGAGGTGAGGCCTCACCGTCCCGTCCCCAAAGCGCCCCAGAGCCACCCTCACCCCACAGAGCCCAGCTCCTGCAGCTCGGGGGTGGCACCGGTGACCCCCCCGGCGTCGGGGTGACGGGGAGCTGCACCCTACCTGTGGCCCAGTAATAGATGTCCCAGTCGTTGCTGGGCTCGTTGATGAGGCGGTCGTAGAGGTTCAGCTGGTGCTCGCTCATGCGGTGGAGGTTCTCCTTGGCAAAGAGGCTGGGGAGAGGATGGAGGAGGATGAGTGTGGGGGAGAGGAGGAAGAGCGTGGCTGGCACTTGCTCCCGGCCACGCTGGTGCCCATTTCTCTGCGTGATGCCAAAGTGACCCGTCTCCTGCCCCAGCCTGCTCTTCCTGAACCACCACCTCAGTCCTGAAACCCATCTCGTTCATACATCCCAGGAATTACATGACATCCCAGGAATTACACGCTCCCTTCCCAAAGGATCTTGGCTCAGCCACCAGCTCAGAGTTTTCCAGAGCTCTCCTCTGCCCTGCACTGACGAATCCATCGCGGATTCAGGCGAGCAAAGCTCTTGTGGTGATTTATTCAACCACACACCCTTCTCTCTGCCTCCTGTCCTCTAAGCAACATCGCTTCCCCTCCGCCTTTTTGGATGATGGCTTTGCTCTGCCCCACCAAACTCCCTTCCTGCAACGCTCGGGGCTCTTCCTTGTTAATTAAAAACCTCTGACATCGTTAAGGAGCTGAGCTACATTCACCTCAGCTGGCCTTTCACCCTTAGCTCTCCATCTCTTGTGGTTGATGGGATCTCTGCTTGGAAGCCAGCCTTGGCTGCAGGGGATGAATTATCAGAATCACAGAATCACAGAATCTTCTAGGTTGGAAGGGACCTTAAAGATCATCTTGTCCAACCATCAACCTAACTGACAAAAATAGACACCCACACAACAAACAAGAAGCATCATCACTAAACCAGACCTCCCAGCACTACATCAACCCGTCTTTTGAACACCTCCAGGGATGGTGCCTCAACCACCTCGCTGGGCAGCCCATTCCAATGGCTGATGACCCTTTCAGTGAAAAAATTTTTCCTAATATCCAGCCCCCAGGGTGCTGTGGGGAAGGACAGACGGACTGCGAAGCCGGGAGGGAGGACGGGTGCCCCCCACACCTCACCTGAGCAGGATGCAGTTCTCCAGCATCCCCCTTTTCCTGCTCTCGTAGAGCAGCCGGGCTCTCTTGGTCTCCAGCGGCTCGTCAGGACGCTCCTGCCAGGGGGGCAAAGGGATCTCCAGCAAATCCTTGCCCGAATCCGTCGGGGAGTCGCCACGGTAGCCACGCCGGAGGCACGCTGGCCCCAAAACACGCTGGCACAGAGCCCGGCCGGGCAGGGAGCAGAGCTGGGAAAGGGACACGGACAGCACAGGGGACATCAGGCCTGGCTGTGCCAGCATTGAGGGGACAGAGAGATCCCCAGCACACACATGACCCCCCCCAAACTCTGAGAGCCATGAATCCCCCGTCCCACACACCCCCCCAGACCCTGCTGCCCCTACTCCTCCCCATAAGCCCCCCAGATCCTGCTTTCCTCCCAACCCCAGACCCTGCTGTCCCTGATCCCATGACCCCCCCAGGCCCTGCTGCCCC